CGCAGGCCCAGTTGCCAATGTCAATGTGTGGCCATTTGTCATTGAGGATTATTGAGGTTAGCCAAAGCCACAAAGTTGTATTGATTTGACATTAAAGCCGGACGGCTCCTGCTGGGGCTTAAGCCAACAACTATAACGGTATAGGGGCCAACTGGAGATAATTAAAAATCAATACAAGTGAGATTTGTGCGCACAAGTCTTAAAAGTCGTTTCGCAGCAAATGTTAGCTGGGGGCTAATTAGGGTCTCAGACGCGAGCAAGTGAACCAACAACTTATGCAGAGCTTTTGGTTTTACCTTTAATAATTCGAAATCTTGTACATAGTATATAGTAGGAGCTCCATGGATTATGGGCAACCAAGAGCAGAGCTGCTGTTGCTGTTGCTTCCTAGCGGGAATGCTTATGCAAATCTGTAGGTGGGTGAAAAATCCAGCACGAGTGCAACAGAATCTAATAAAAATAAAAAAGAGTAAAGCCCTTTAACCACAGCATTCAGCGGAGGAGCACATGGTGGAGCCAAGTGCGTTACAAACTCGGCTAAATTCCGTTTCATCCCTTGGCATGAAACCGCTTAAGCTGTCAGCGACGTGTTGCCATAGCAAAAGTCATAAAAGATCCGCCCGCACACGTAGAAACTTAAATCATTGCCTGCACTAATCATGGCATATCCATAGAGCGAGGGGAGTCGACACAGACTGGAGCCCAGGGCAGGCCAATACGACGTGCATGGTATAGTAGATAGTGATACACACACATATGCATGTGTGTATGTGTGTAGTCATTCTTAAAGCACGGCCAGCGCAATACTGCGAGGCACATAAAGCTTCAGCAATTGCACATAAATCTTCGACAGACAAAATGGCCAACTGTAGTTGGCTGTTGGCGGTGCTAAAGCTTTGCATTCGTAGCGGGCGTATTGGCTTTCGCCAACAATAAAACTCAATCGTGTGGAATGAGCGTGGGCGCCAGCGTGGGCAGCGGCAGCAGCAGTGCGGGCGGCAGGTGTGTGAATGATACTGAAGTGCACAGGTGCTGCTGGCCAGGCGCCATTTGATATTAAGCAGCCGAAGCCAATTCCGAGAAAGCAAATCAGAAATTCAGAATCAGATTTCATAATATTTGCTGCTGTTTGCAATGTTGGCAGGAATAAAGTGAAGGAATTTTTTAAAATGACAAACCATAAGGGAGTGCTCGACTAGAGAGATTATGCACCAGCTGATCATAAAAGTTTGTGAGTTATTGAAGAGCATTTTAGCATGAAAATATTCAAATTTAAAACCAATAAATTGCATATGAAAGACTTAAAATATTTGTGCTGTTATTTATAAACAAATTCTAATTTACATTATATTATTTATATATATCATTTTGATGAGTACTTTATGATTCATGATATATATTAAAATATACATACAAATATAAAATAAATAAATTGAATAACTACTTGCTTATCATACATACATACATCATATATTGAATTAAAAATATATTTGCTTTTATTTATAAACAGATTTTAATATATGTAGAGTATTTACAATAATGCGTATATTAATACAAGATATTAAAAACCTTATTCATATATATTTATTATTAATATTCATATGCAAAATAAATATAATATATATATTAAATAAAAATATATTTATAAATATTTAATATATTTCTCAGATTTAAAATATATTTACTTTTATTTATAAACAGATTTTGACATACTGAGCTTAAGATTATCTTTATGAGTATTTAATACTTTAAATTAAATTTTGAAGAAATTATTAATCTCCATGTTAATAATTCATAAATCAATTAAATATTTACTTGATTATAATATATCTATCAAATTTGAAATATAATTGAGTCTATTTATGAACAGATATTGACAGGGGGTATTTGCAATAATCTTGAGTAAATGAATTGAGAAATTGCTTTAAAGGATGCATGTATATATAATAAACTGAATGCAAGTTTGCAGCTTGAGTAGAGAGCTTAACGATTTGAATGATTGTTCATTCTTTTAATCCCTTCAAATCCTACGCATAAAACTTTTAATATCTCAGCGCAGACCACAAATGCCCGTAACAAAGGCTAAGTAAAAATAAATTTCTGTGAAGCTTTTGTGGTTATATGGGCTCATGGTATATATATATATATGACATGATAATTGCCCTGCACAGCATGCTCTGTGTGGACCACAAACAGAGATTTTGTATATGCATTTCATCTATTTAAACACTCGAGTATAGCCGGCATATCTATATTTTGCACTTGCAGCTAGTTGTCTTTCGTAAAAGTCTTCGATTGGCCAACTCGTCCATCGCTTAACACCTACTCAAACACGCTACTCTTTTTATAGGGTATCGGCGTGCACGCAACTGGCGCTGGTTGAAATCAAACAACTTTACAACATGCAAACAGCCAACGGCAGCCAGCACACATAAATCTGCAAATGTGATAAATGACTGCAAAGCGTAGCTTAATGTTTATTTTAAATAATGATGATGAGTAGCATGTGCCGCGGCTCGTCGCTGGCGTATCGTATGCAAATTCGCCCGGCACATTAGGTGAAATTGTCAACTGGCAGTTGAGAGTGGCTCGTTGGAAGGTCTTTTCTATGGAGTTCGCAGTATGCCAGTTGCTGCTGCTAGTCCTGCTGCTCCTGCTGCTCTGCTGATACCATTTCGCATTCAATTATTCATAAATTGCGCACGCGTTCACGCTCATTACGCATACGCCCCGTGTGCGTAAATTGCTTTCAGTTCGCCCCTGGATCTATATTGAAATGTATGTCACTCAGCGAGCATATTAATTTGATTCACACAGCAGCAGGTGGGAGTTCTCCTTGCACTTTTCATATGCCCCGACATTTGACTCAGTCCCATTAGCATTATTTTGCATAATTTAACGCTGCTGTCCGCCCATGAGCTTCGCATTGAAGCCTGTTGTGTCCTTTTGTACTTGAAAAGTTTTTGGGGCCAACTTCTTATAATTTCTGTCAAATGTTGTTTATAATGCCAACGCAGCCGAATAATTTACCCACGAAATCGAAAAAGTTTTCGCTGCCCTTTTAGTATTTGTTTTTACGTTCGAGTTCCGCTATTGTTGCTGGTCTCTATGTGTGGGTGAGTGTGTGTGTGTGGGTGTGTTATAATAAATATAAGTCAGCGCGGATTTGCATACATTAAGTGAGTGAGCACAGTTTTATGGCCAAGATGAATATAAATGAGACAATTTTGACACTGGAATTTGTATTTGACATTCGCACGCTTTATTTAAATTCATATTGGATTTTGAATGCCTGCAGAGTTTCAGGTAATTCGTTTAATTGACAAGCCTAATGGAGGCTCAGTGACATTTCCATTTCAATACATGTCAGATAAGAGCCAGAATTAGGTAGGATAAAGTCTCTGCTCCACCTCAGTTTACCCATATGCACAAGCATAGAAGGCATAGACAAGGCACACTTAGCAAGGATCTCCCTGGATACATTTTGTATTACAAAAACAAACAAAGGCTAATGTCATCATATTGAAAATCCAAAGAGACACACATATGTTTGTTTAACTTATTTGATGTAGCCATGAAATTTGGCGTAATACATTTTTGTTTTTCTTTATATTCTTGTGGGCTTTTCGTTTTACCCGCTAAGCCGTTCAGGGTCAGCCTCGGCCACGGCTAAATACACAGAGCACACGACATGAGTAATGACAACTTTATCGCTCATCTGTTTGGTTTGTGTGTCCCATCGGATTGGTCGGCGGGCGGTCGATAGATGGCACTTGTCAGCGTTTCTGTTTTAGAAACGTATTTGATTATATTATATGCCTCTGCTGTGCTCTGGCCAGAAAAATGTGTGGGCAAAAGTTGTGACTCGTGCCAACCTATATGGATTTTCGATTGCTTGTTGATGCTCCCCTGTCGAATGAATTGAAGATTACCTAAAAAGCAGCGTGAAGTATGCGACATGCCTGGGGAACAACAACTCATGGATTATGAATATTGTGCCCTTTTCTTTCAAAATATTCCATCCATTATGCAAAAGGCCACTCGCCAGACAAACCCATTGGGTACGTCCACCGCCCCAGCCACCAGCCACCAGCCAACAACCTTGGTTGAGTCAATGGCGTCATTAGCATTAACAAATGCCCGCAGCGTGAGCGCCATCAATCCAAGAGCGAGTGGTCCAAGTGTCCAAGCTGCTGCGCATACAAACGATTTGTCTTTGCGCTTATCGCTCGTTTACAAATTTGATTATTGTACATGTAGCTGGAATTTTGTTGCCATGTGATATAATATTCCAGAATCCTTTTCAAATGCATAGATAATGCAAAGCAAAGAAAGGCGTCCATACAATTGAGTATTAAATAGCCTTTTACAATATGGTCGAAGAATCCGAAGATTTCTGTCCCTCTCACTCTCTGTGTCTCCGTCTGAGTCTCTCTCTCCCGCTCACTTTATGTCTCTCCCTCTCCTAAAGAGAAAGGGAGTCCATCCTATCACTGTTTCTGTCTCTGTGTCTCTCTCCTTCACTCTCTTCTATATTCAACTGCATAAATTTACATAAAATATATAAATATGGCATATTTAACTTTAACTAATAATAAGACATTGAGGTTTTAGATTTCTTTCCAAGTTTCAATATTTAAATGTCAAAAAATAATATACAAAAAATAATAAATATTAATATACATATACAATTTGATCTAACTGAAACAATAATAGATATTTTAAACACTCGCAGATTTGAAGTAAGTCGAAAAATATTATTGATTAGGTATGGATAATTTACTTAAATAATCTAAAAAAAATATTCACTAATACTCTAACAACTCTAGGTCCATTCCATCAACTTCACAAAGCATATTATGTGTTTACTGTCATTGGGACATCGAAGCATTGGAGTTTGGAATATGTTGTAAAATGTGTTATTCTCGTTTGGCCAGTCTCGAAATATAAAAAACTTACAAAATCAAATAAAAAATATCAAAATAGTTTTTTTTTTTTGTGTATAGATTTCTGAAGTTTTGTGTCAGTCAGTCGCGATGCAGGCTCATCATGCTATGCCGGACTTCCGGTGCCGGAACAATTGCCAGCACAAGGAGTGCCAGCGGCATGCCCCGCTGGGCATCATAGACCAGCACACGCAATGCAAGTGCTTGGGTGAAGTGAATGCCTCATCGATATTTTTGGAGAATGTGCTCGACTTGGCCAATTCGTTGTCGCAAATAATGATCATTTGCGGCCTGCACGAATGCAAGGCCAAGTCCACAGTTGACATTATAACGTACGCCTTTCTGCACTACGATCAGGTGTGCTACTGCATTGACACGGTGCCCAAGAAACGGCTACGAAAGGAGGACATCTTCCACGAGCTGGGCAAAAAGTCATTGATGAACAAGGTGGAGGCCCACCTCGCCTACAACATCATCAAGCGCGGCTTCAAGGCCTTCTACTACGAGCCCAAGCAGGAGCTGACCTACGATGATCAGGGCAGGCCCAGCTACAATGACGAGTGCGTGTGGGTGCATGCGGCGCGTAAGACGGCCGAGAGCTATGCACGCTTCGACGGCCTGTCCTGCAATGAGCAGATGGCGTACGAGGCCAAGATCAAGATCGTCTACAAGAAGTTCTACGATCGCATGCAGACACGCAAGCGCCAGCCGGAGGGTGATGATTGTAACTGTTGCTTCTGCGCCAAGAAGCGTGGACATCTTGTCTATGCCAAGGAGCCGGTGCCGTGCAGCACCAAACGCAAGCCGAAGCACGTGTGCCCGTATTGCTGCAAGAAGAAGCGGAAGCAATCGTACACCCATCCCGCTCGCCCGTCCGCCAAGTGCCCCAAGTGCCACAAGTCGCGCAAGTTCTGTTGCTGCACCAAGATGGACTTCAATCTGCAATGGGTCAAGAGTATCTGGGATCGTCCCGATTTCAATCAGTATTACAAGAACGAAATCGCCGAGATCGAACAGCGTTTGGTCAAGGGCTCTTGCTGGCTGCCCCCAGAGCCAATCGGCGCAGATGGCGGCGATGGCGAAGAGGCCGAGGAGGAGGAGGAATTCTCACCGGAAGCACAATTGGCTTTAGGTGGCAAGAACGTGGGCCTCCTGCCCAAGGAGGATGAAGAAGAGCCAACAGAGCCTCCACCTCCAGCTGAGACCGAACCAGCTGCCGAGCCACCCAAGGAAGAGGACCAATAAACCGTCAACAAAATATGCACTAATTTTTACCAAAAAGGGATTTAATTGGGAAATCATCAGTATCATTAAAAATTCTATGTACTCTTTCAAATCAATGACTTTTTCTTTAGGCCCGACTTGAAGCGGAATAAAAATGCGATATTCAAGTCCTTCAGATCTGCAAATGCAATTATTTATGTTGATTTAATATGAAGGACTAACTGAAGTAAAGCGGAAGACCTAATTTCACTCGCCAACCTTAGATTATCTGATATAATCTAGCTGTAACTGTAACTCGTACGTCTTTCATGCTTTCCTGATGCTTGAGCATCTGCAATTTGATACCAAGTTACTATGAAGTGTGCAGCACGCCATAATGCCATACAAGTTAGACGTGTTGCTCTGCTCAGCTATGCACACGTCCTAACACACTTCATCAAAGCCACAAGCCGTTCAACAGCTGCTGCTGCTGTTGAAACTAGGGCCCCAGCTCGAGTACGGCATTTCCACAGTAACTCAAGGTTGCCCTTGCAGCGCCCGTTGCTGAAATTGCAAACTGCAGTCATTTACCTCGCACTCGTACTCCAAGTACTCAACAGTGCTTTGATCCTGGCTTATTCAGATTTCAAACGGGCTACATGATGAGTTCTCTGCCAAAAGTGTACCCCCAAAACTACTTTGCTGTGAACTAATTGCACTGGGTTCATGCATTCATTCAGCTCTGGCAATTTGAGCTTTAAAATAAGTATTACATATGTTATTTTCTAGCTGTTTGCCCAAGCTCTCAATGCTGTTATTAGTAACAGTAATAACAGGTGCTTGCTATATAAATGGAATGCTTGCGCAAAGAGCAGAAAAATTCAGTACTTAAATTGTTGCAGTACCTGAATTAAATATTTCTGAATATTTATTTCATTGTGTAACGATGCTCGAGCTAAGGCTGAGCTTTTTGCTTTTATATTATTAAATTCAAATGTTCAATATTTTTAAAGCCGCAGCGTATTCCTTATCCAAAATCCTTTTGCTCTTAACTCCACATGAATATAAATCATTTCATGGCTATCGAATTGGGACTTTTTTCGTTGCGGTTATAGATGCTTTCCGCCAATCGAAGCGAGGCCAGGTGGCATGCAAAATGAGAGCCTCAGACATGGAAAGCCACAACGATTGATACAATTTGTCACTGGCTGTCAATCTGGCCAGCCAAGGCTGCACATCGAGTCGCAACGAATTCAAGTCCAAGGCTAGCCCGCATGTGTCCTTGCACCTGTCAGCCGTTGAGCTGCCAATTTAAATGTGATTTGTGGTTGAAGCCACACTATCCCCAATCATGCGTGCTGCATATAATTGCCGGAAAGCATGATAATTTATTTTTGGCATTTTTTGATAAACCGCAGAAGCCGCAACATTTTACTATTTGCCGAAATGAAAATGTTATGAATGGTTCATTTATTTATTGGCCACTTACAATGCAAATGGATAATTAAATATGCAAATATGTTGTTCATCGTAAATGGGTTAATAACAGCAGCAAAAGTACATCAATTTGCATATTAATTGTCGAAAGGAAAATTGAATATCCTTATGCAAACTGAATTGATGCTGTCTGAGCCATAGACTAGAGTTTTATTTAAAGATGCGACTGAAGTGAATGTGTATGAGCTGACTTTAAAGTTTTTTTTTTATGATGATAAGCCTGTAGCTTATATATGCAGAAAATATATAAAGTTTCAAAGTGTTGGCCTCGGGCGTCAGAAAATTCATTAGAGCAAAAGTTGCCAAAACAGATTTTATTGCACATAAAATAAAGGTAAACAGGTTTTAGGCTAGGCAAATCAATTTACAGAAACACACACACACACGAGTACAAGGAAAATATGTGGAAATTCAGAGTGAACTGCAGCACCTATGTTATTGAATATAAAATATTATGGCATTTCAACGCGGGCCACATATACATTGAATGGCTTTTAATGCTCGCAACCAAATTGGATATTCAAAGCCAGCTGCAGTCAGTCGCAGCCGCAAAGCCACAGCAACAACAGCCAACTGAAGATGCTGGCCAAGGATGCCCCATGCTCGGGTGGCTGCAGAAAAGTCACAAGTGGATTTTTAGTGTAAATGTAAATGCGCTCAGCGAATGCGAGTCCGCATCTGCAACTATATCGAGGGGGCCATAAGCAAAAGTTTGCCTTATCCTTTATGTCGTTGGCAGAGCACTGTATGGCTGGGCTTGGCTGGGCTTCTGCAGTCAGCCTGTTTACGAATTATTTCCATATACTACTCAGCTTTGAAATTGGATTTTATATGTGCTCGCTGCCATTCTAAAAATATTTTTCTGTCAACTGCCTAAAAGTATGCACGATGAAAGCTGGATCGTCCTTAGCGACTCTAGAGACTTATATAAAAATATACGAGGCACAGAGAGCTAAACTATTATAAAAAGGCAAAATGACAAATGTCAACAGTCGAGTGGTGAATGCTTGAAAAATTTCAGCTTAGATCTCATTTAAATAAATTGTTTTGTCCGACAAATTCATCAATCAATCCTAATTTATATATAATATAAGAATTGTAGTTAAAGCAAACCATTTAAATTGCCCTTTTACTACAGATGTTAGTCTTTAAAGCCACGTCCACCGATCAATAAGCCACGCCTTCCCGCGTGACAGTTGTTTGTCTGTCAGGATTACCTATTCGCATTCCCAGTCACTTTGGCTAAATGAAGGAGTGATGTTCCACACGGTGCTAGCTCTGTGCACACCACGTGGCGTATGAGCAATGCATGAAGGCCCTCAATGGCTGACCTTTTCCGCCAAACTGACTTCCTGACTGTTGCCATACCTGTTTTTTTTTTTTTTTTTTTTTACATATTCAATACGTTAGTTTTTCCCTCTCTCTCTCTCTTTTGTGCTCGGCAAAACATTTATAGCTCTAGTGCGCACTGTAAGTACCCACAAATAATGAATGGATGGCAGAAGAGGGAGCGCAGCGAGCAAAAAGGAAAATGTATATATACAATATATATAAACATACCTATACATATATATATGTGTGTTTGTGTGTAAAGGCAACGCGAAGCGGAAAAACACTTTTACTCGAGTCGCTGTCGACAGCCCGTAAAATTGACAAGCCGTAAAAAATATACGTATAACGCACCCATGCTATTTGTCGAATGGCTGAATGCATGTAGAGCAGCAACTTTGCTCTTTGATGACCCATAGACCCGCGTCAAATAATATTACGCCATAAAAGCGGGGCATTGTGCAAAGTAAGCTGAATATACATACATACATATATTCAGGCATTTACTTAGTTATAGCTGGCTGTCCCTGCCTTACCCTTACGCGGCGCGTCTCGCGTCTCGCGCTCATTACTGTTATACAAGGCATAAAAGTATGCATAATGTGAATACTTAAATAGGAGGAAAGGACCTCAGACTTGGCCGCGTCGGGACATTTAAAAATATACGCTGAGTAATGCTGAAAATACGCATCGATTTTAGCAGCGCCAAGAGCAATCGATTAATCGATTAAATTGACCTTTAGCATCCACGGCGATACAATGTCGTCGTATGTAAAGCAAGTCTATGTAGTCTAGTGTTGATTTTATTTTCTAATTGTATAATTGTCTTATTTGCCAAAAATGTGCATTAAAACCAGCAAAAATCAATTAATTCAGCTATACTAAAGCCAATCGAATGGTAGCTTTTGTTGTTGTGTATATATGTCTATATCTATATATGTAATATATGTTTGTATGTTTGAATGCATAATGTAATATAACTGTTGTGTCAGTCTGTGGATCACCAAGCAAAATATTTGAGGAGGTGAAATAGAATCATGTAAAGTAAAATCCGGTTATAACGACTCCACTTATAGCATCCGTATGGTTATTGCGACGAAAAATCTGGTCCTTAGACAAGCATAAACATATAAACAATCTTAAATAGTTTTAGCGTCTTTCGGGTATAACTTCGGTTCATTGAGTGTCGTTATAACCGGACTCTATTGTATATCTACGAAGTATGAACACTGATAACAAGCAATATTTGTATTCAACTAACACATTCTTGACTTAACTAACAACAGCATCAAAACTGATACGTAAGGCAAGCATATCCACTTCATATATGTATATGCATGTCAACTTAACGCAGCCAGCGCATGGCTGCAACTTTAAGGACTCAGCAAATCACCTTTCATGTAACAAAAGTATCAAGTGCTTTTACAAGTAACTCCTCAATTTGATTTTAATTAATATCATACTTGACTTTTGTAATACTATACAGCTCTAAAGGGAAATGTAGCTTCAAGCTCTAAGCTTCCTGGAATCAATTTGCTGCGAACAGACGATTTAATTAATTAATCGAGAGGAAAAGTTATCAAAGCCTTAAGTTTGTAGGCGTCTCGCTATGGCTCAGCTGAGCGGCAATGAAGCCAATCATTCAAATGTTTCTAAAGCATATACATAAAGCATATAAATACATATATAAAGTGAGCCAATGGAGGGCCAATTAGAGGAGACTAATTCTCAATTGAAATCTCTTTAAGAGGACTTTTGTGAATATGCAAATAATTGTTCGTAAATTATTGAGTCGTCCGTATTTAATTGGCATGAGCCAGCAAATCCATGACCCTGTTTTCGATTGTTTTCAGTTTGGCTGCGTTCACGCGGCGTATGCGTAATGAAACTGACCGACAGCGTCGAGCTGAGCCCATGCCAGGCAATTTGCGAGCACATATCTAATAAATTCATAGATTTGCATATGAATGGCCCAGTTTTCACAGAGTTGCCTGGCAAACAGCAAATCACAGACCCGGCCTCGTATAATTAAACTGTCGACATAATTAAATTTATCGCACTTTTGATATATTTCCAGCTCGGCTGCAACTTTATGGCATTGGCAAATTGCTTACAAATGGCTATTATATGTAGTCATATTTCTGAAATGCTTACTAGGTATTCTCTCTCGTTTAGAGCACAATTCATATTGTACACACTTATTTATGGCAGACTGTACACACACACACACACACACACACACACACAGCTTATTGAGCTGTTTGCGGCAAAAGTTTGCTCTTTGGCAATAAAATAATATTTATTCTACAAAGTTGTGCATTTTGTGCCGAAAAGGATGCAAGAATGAAATTTTATTACACTGATCTCTATATTTTGTATTTGCATTGACAATTGTGCTGAACAATTGAAGATATTTGTTTATTTTAAGTTTTGCTTTAGTTATTAGTATAGATTATATTGCATTTCGCTTGTGAATCGAGGTCACTGAATCGAACTGTCATTTTCTAAATGCCATCTAAATAGATTTAAAAGTAATATTCTATTTTGATTGTCAATTTTTTTAATACTTGTCTCATACATTTGAGATATTTTAAATATTTTATGTAATTACTATAGACTTCTCTGGAGTGTTTTTAATTACTTTTAATTACTTTGTTTTTAATTACTTTATTCGAATTTCCCCATCATTTCAAGGCTTCTTCTAAAATATTAGAGATATTTAAAATATTTTATGCAATTATTCTAAAAATTAAAGTACTTTATTTAGATACAAGTTTCACTTAGCTAGCTGTTTGTAGGCAGGTCGGTTAATTTGTTTAGCTCTTTAGGACTGCTCGATTATTCACGCACTCTCATTCAGTTAGTGGTAGCTCGTCCATGGAGTCGCCCCACAAATTACGTGGAAATTACGTTTTTAATTATGCAGGCCTTAATTTACTTCCATTGAGGAACAAAGTGGACAAAGTGGGCTTCGTATGAATGTAACTTGAGCATGTAATTCAGTGTGTATGATTGTGTGGGAGTGCCATTGTGTGTGGGTGTGTGAGTGTGTGAGTGCGTGTATTGCCACTCGAGTGCACTCGGAAAACCAAAGCGGCAACAAATGGCAAACAAAACGTAGCATACTCAGAGACGTTCGCTGGAGCGTGCCGCACATGCAAATGCATAAGCGAACGCAAATAAAACATTCCCGAACGCGACCTGCCACTGCCCGCCCATTGAGAGAAATATTGGCTTGCAACATTTCGTGCTGCCATTCAAGCTCATTTCGCCATAAACGTGATTGCTGGCAAGCGCAGCTGCAGTTGCCTGCCATGTACATGTATGTAGTCTCTATGGATGGCCCACCAAAAAGACAACAGCAGAGTGCCCGAAATGAGAAAGAAACCAAAATCGTGATTACGTTCGCATTATGGCCAACATTTTGAACTCGGAGTTCTGCTGAGCTGCAATTTCCTGCCTGCCTCGACTGACTCGTAATAACCATCAAGTTTATTAGTTTCTCTTGTTGCTCCTATTTCGGTCTCGCTCACTTACACAGACCTCCTAATTTTATTAAAAACTTCAGGTTGCTTATTCGTGTGCTTCGCAGGAGCGCGCAATCCCTGACCAGCTGAAACTTTCACTATGCTCAGCTTTTTTTCTGCTAATGCTATGAAATTAATTTTCCACGACGCCCACTTTTGCTTTTTGTGTTTTCGCCTTTTTCTATTTTTGTATTTTTAGGTTCTCTTGTCTTTTGCGTTGTTCGCCAAGTTGTTCGCTACGTGGCTCATTAAGTATAAATAAGCGAAACCGTGAACGGAGTTCGTGCAGCAAAAGTTTTAATGGATTTCTCATAGGTGGGAGGCGTCAAAGGATTGAGCCGCCATTAGAACTTCGTTTACGACTGCTTGGCGTATTTATTTCTGTTTTATCTATTGTGGTTCGAGCATTAGCAGTTGACCTTTCCATGATTCTTATACCCTGCGAAAGTTAAGTTTATCCAAGCAGTCGAAGCGACTCTGACAAGGCTTACTTAATTCTCTACAAATAAATAAATAAATAAATTCTAGAAAATATTAATCCAGTATAAAGGGCAACCCAATTGCAATATATGAGTGTATAAATAGATGTGGCTAATATTCATTTAATTGCTGGTGAAATGCCATTGAAACATTAGCCTTATTTGATTGAATATCGTGCGCTAAATCAAATTCAAGTGGTTCGCCCTTTCAGTTTAAATGGTACTTAATAACGATTTGAGGCTCTTTTCAATCAAGAGCACTTAAATTACACGGGCACATATACATACATAAATATTCACGAACACACACCGACATTCAACCACAACACACACAGGGAACCACTTAAATCGTAGTCTCTATAGCACAACGAGCGTCGAATAAAGGAAGTCAGGGGTAAAAAAAAAATAAAAGAAAACCTTGCCAAGTGACAGGCGGTGCTTTGTAATGTCCTGAGCTTTTGTTGCAACCAGCTCAGACCCGTTGCACAATTATTAACTGCCAGCGTTCAGGGGGGGAAAAAAAAACAAAATTATGACCAAGTCGACGGCAGTCATAAAAGCAGCCAAAGCCAAATGCCACAATCACAAAAGCGACCGACAATGAATGGCCGAGTGATGGACACCTTTGAGCAGAGCGCGGAGCCAGAAAATGAAAAGGATAAGAAAAGCGAAGCAAGTCCTTTCACCGCTGCCTGCCCAATAAGCTTAGAACGTGCAGTTTGTTTGTTGACTCAGCAGCTGCAGCTGAATCCAGCCACTTGAAGCTCAGCATAAACACAACGAAAAACTTTGACAGAATGCAGAGAACTCAAGCTGGGAACTTACTTAGTTATTGTTTAAATATTGACTAAAGCCAGCAAGAGTTTTTAATTGCTGCAAACTGAAATCCAATTTATAGTTTGTTAAATAGTTGCAAATATAGGAAAATAATTACTAATTGGCAAAATATTTGCTGATACTTTAAATTAAATTGTCGTTTGAAAACAGATTTTTGCATAATACATAAAAATATATTCAAATATATAAACCGATGTACTTAAACTGAAATCCTGATGTTGTTAATTAAAAGTTTCATGTCAACATGTGTGCTGATTTATTCTATTATAATTTTAGTAGAAATTTTAGTTGAATAATTTATGAACAGCAAATCGAGATTTGTACAAAATTTATTCGGCAACAATTTTCCAAAAAAAAAATAAAATAACAAAATAAATCAAATAAAATAATGTTTTTCTAGGGAAGTTAAATTTTGAAAAAAAAAAAAAAAAATATATATATATATATAAAAGAATTAATAGAAATATATATATTGTATATTATGTTTCTCTAGTAAAATTGTTTTTTGTAAAAAAAAAAAAAAAAAACAAAAAAAAAATAAATAAATAAATAAATAGAATAAAATTATGTTTTTCTAGTGAAGTTAAATTTTGAAAAAAAAAAAAATATATATATAAAAGAATGAATAGAAATATATATATTGTATATTATGTTTCTCTAGTAAAATTGATTTTTGCAAAAAAAATAAAATATATATATATATATATATATAATAATAATAATTGAAATTGGAAAATCAGAGTGTAATGTAAGGAGGCATTCCCAATCACATAAAATGTATTCCTGCATCAGCATAATTATATAATAATAACATATTAATATTACATAATCATATCGCTGTCCCTCCATCCAACCATTTATCGATATAAACGGGTTGAAAGTGCAGATATTCCTTAACTGCAATAAGAGTATACTTGATATTTTCACTCGCAAAATATTAACAATAATATAACATTTATGTTAACTGCAACTGACATTACGGAAATGCGAAAAATATATTGAATACCACAGCAACAACAACCACAACAACCACAACAACAAAATTGAATGCTTCTGTGCAATTGCAGCTGTTGTGATGCCATTCGACATTCAACCTTTGATTTGACATTTACAGCTGAATAAAAACCTTTTCGCTTTTTCGTGAATGAGTATAAAAATGATACAAATACTTGGAAATGAAGAATGAATAAAACATGACGGAACATCTGCAGCTGATGAACTCAATGATAATTGAAAAAGTTTATCATACAGTTAATTAAGTAAGAATATAAATATTTTTAATACAATTTCACAGAAACTGGGCTGCGCTGCAACAATAATAAAGTCTTTAAAACCCTTTTGCTGTGTATATATATAATGGCTCTAGCTTTGCGACTTTGCTTGCCTGCATCAAATTGCTCGACCGGCTGGTGTTAATTTAATTATATAATAAAAAACGGCTCATATATGAAGAAAATATGGGTAAATTCCAAGCTAAAAACACGAACACTACTTAACGAGGGTAATTAAAAAAAATTATTCACGAAGCATTTAAATGGAGGCAAATGAACATTTCAGTAGAAAAACTCGGTAAATTTTTGTGTAATTGCAAAGCAAGCACGCAAATGCAAATCCATTTGCACATTCGGCCAGGCAAAAGTCGACAAAGGTTAAGTTGAATAATACAAAAGACTTTGAGCATACCCTAGCTTTTGCTCTGAGAAGCCATTGGGCAAAACTTTTAGTGCGAGCTCGTGAAAACAAAAAGCTGTCACTAAGATTGGATTCTACACAACCCAAAACTCACACTTTGCCTTAAGGAGGGGTTTGTTATTCAAGGCTAGTTAAATCCTCAATAAACACAATGGCTTAAGCGTAAGTTTGTTTAGGCGCGGTTTCCTTTCTCTAAACAAAAGTTCAAGTATTGCAAACTATTTGCCAGAAATAAAATGCATTTATTATGGACTTTTGTATGAGTTGAATCTGCCTCACTTACAATATAAAATACAGTACAGGATTATATGGGCTGACGTTCATATCACAATAGATTATTGATTTATATATAAATAAGACATTGGATTAAAGGCAGACGTATGCAACTTTTACTGCTGAGTGCTAGAGAATATACATATCTATATATAGAGAGAAAATATATATATATTATAGTATAGCTTGTAAAACAACCATCAACAAATTTTAATACATCTGAATTTTAAACGGCATGAGAATAAAGAAAGAAAGTTAAGAAGTCCATATATATGCATATATATACAATAATATGGCTTACATTCTGCGTGCTTATGCCTCCCCCTTTTTCTAGACAAATAATAATCAATAAATTCACGTAGTCCAGATAACCGGAAAAGTCGGAAATTAAAATTCAATTCAATGCAAAAAACGACCTTGACAACTTCTGCTGCAATACTAAATTACGCAATTATTTGCATAGTGCATACAAATGTAATGAAAATGAGTGCGCTTACCGCTACGCTTCTGTATGGGGTTGGCCATGTGCCCGTACAGGCGACTCAAGTCGATGGCATTCGCAGTCGCCTGGAGCAGTAGGAGCGAGAGCAGAAATGCTGGCCAATTCAAGCGTCGCTGGTCCATGGTCAGTGGCATGGAGGAGGACATTTTGCAGCTGGTTATCGTACCTTACGGCGCCTCTTTTGCTGTGAACGTGTTCAAATTAAAGCACTTGCTCTTTATGTCCGTCTGAGTGTCTCTGTTTTTTTCTCCCCGTATCTATGTTTGAGTTCTGGAATCCGCACAAATTGTAGAACGAGATAAACTTTCACACGCGCACGTTTGCTGCTGCTTTACTCGAGTGTTTGACAAAGTTTTCTAGTTAGTTTGCGTTCGGACCGCCGTGTCCTTTGCCTTAGTTGAGCGGGTGGCAGCCCCAGCAGCGGAACGATTCTGTTTGGTTCCGTGTCACGACTGTCACTGCCCCGCTTGGCCTGAGCGCTGGACGCGTTTATTTTTATTTGTTGGCTTTTCAGAGGGGTCTGATTGAATTAGTAGTGCTGGGACTCCTGCTTCCTGCTGTCACTCTACATTAACTAGTTGGCTATGCTAATCGTCTTCTAATGGAGTTATACGCACCCGAAATTAGCTATATTCCTAAACTTACGTTCGTTACGTTGTTTCGATATTATTTATGTTACCTATCGCGTTGCGATTGTTTCCTACTATATAGCAATCTATAAGCCGTTGAATATAATTAGCATTTGTGTTCGTTTTCTAAAATATTTCCGTTTCGTTTTCGCTTAAACTTAAAATCGAAAAGAATTTGCAGGCAAACAAATATTATGTTTAAGTCGACTTTTTACATTTTTCTACACTGTAACGAGAAGAGCAAATACAATTCACATTAGTCGATTGAAATGTGTGTGACAGGCACTGATTTCGCATGCAATTAAAATTTTTTAATTGGTTTTGTGTTTCTGCTTTCCCAACTGGCACACAAAGTGTTCGATCTGATCAAAAGAAAGTTCAAATGAAATGAAATGCAATTCCTGCAAATTAAAATGTTTTTGCAAAAGAAAACACATCTGACAGCCAACATATCAATTAAAAATACTTTTCGTATGTTACAGGATAGAACTGCCAAGAGTTCATGGAAAATTCATAACTCGGAAAAAATACTAATTAGTAAATATTATTTTTCATGTAGCTGGCAGGTAAATGTTACTTAATACAAGCATTCACGAGACATTACAAAGAATTTATGATAAAATAAATTTACATGAATAGAATATTTAGTATAGAATATGTGGGAAGCAAACAAAAGTAGACAAATAGGCGAGAGACTAACGAACATCCAAAATAAATACAAATATTTATCCTAGATTTTTCTAGATATAAATTCAGAAATAAACTGAAAATGAATGTATATGCCAAAACAAACAGTATAAATGATTTATTCCGCCCTTAACACATCACAACAAATTTTCACATAATGCCTGAGCACATTAGAGCAACGAAACGACATGAAGACATCATTTAACTTTCATATAGTCGAGGCACGAAACAATTTTATGCGAGTGCCGGGACGTTTACAGGCAAGAAAGCCGTCTAATCAGCTGGGCAAAGTTGATGGTACAAAAAGTTGAACAATCCTTTTCATACATACACACATAAATATATATCTCTCTCCACACTTGAGCGCCTTTTAATGGCCCTCTGGAGCATCTAACACACATACGAAGTGGCAGCGGTTGTTGAAGCAAAAAGAACTGGTGTTAAAGGAACGTAAGCAATAAAGGGTCGACCTTTAATTATAGCCCAGTTAAGCCCTTTTTTTGTTTGGCTGCTTTGAGCTTTGCTTCAAAGCTATGGCAAGCGGACAATTTTGCAGAAAAGTCAAACCCGAGGCTAGCATACTTTTTGGGGCAATCAAAAATGTAGTGAAAGTTGTGCTCACTTTATTTAAGCAAGGAGACAAAGTTTTCAGCAGCTTTACGGTCTCACAAAACTTGGTAAAAAAAAAGCTGGAAGCAAGCACCAGCATTTTAATTAGTTGGTTTCCCTTTTTTTTTTTTGGTTGAGCAGACATTTTTGTTGACTTTTCGAATGGGCGAAACCAAAAATATTAAAAAGCAAAATATATATATTCAGATTGTCCTTGGACCGCATGCCTATGGTCCAATGTTGATGTAGGTCCGTCTGGCCAGAGCAGGCTAACAGCCCTTTTTCGAGCTCTAATTGAAGTTGACAAATCCTCAGAGAAGGGGCTGTGGTGCAACACAGCTTGTAATGAAAATTAATGTGGTGGGATGTAGGCCAGATGGATCGCTCTGGCCTTGCTCAGCCAGCAAAAAGTAGCTACGACAATTGTAAGTACAATTGTATAGAATAATTGAACGAAAGTAAATGTACATGGCCTTAGGATCTCCAGCTGATGCAAGCCTATGCAGTCAGTGCTTAAGGCAGAGCTCTATACAAATGTTTACTAATTTTATGAATTTTCTTCTTCACATCTTCACAGCGGAACACATTTTCATTCTTTAAGCATTTTTTTTATTTTCAGCTAAATGAGTAAAGTAAATAAAAATGTTAGTCTCCCGCAAAGAGAAAAAATTCCAAGACAAGCAATGTCTTCGAGGCGCACTCCTGGGAATAAAGTCGTAAAAGACTCGGGCATTTCCTTCTAAGCAAACTCCAGGCACAATCTAACGCTAGAGAAATACTTTAATATACTGTAATAAAAGTTTTGGCCAAACGATTTGATAAACAATTCCAAGTCTAATAAGAGACATTTAACGTCTGGGGAAAACACAATTTGCGACCAAATTAAATACACCAGAGGCGCAAAAAAAAAAAAAAGAAAAAATATATATATATTTTAAGACGCATTTTAACCATTTGCAAAGTTCTGCACGAAACTCAAGCGAAAACCACAAGGCTAAATAGTAGGATAGGCCACACGGGCATAGCACATAGAAAGGCACAAGCAGACGAGCCATAAAACAGAAAACTAAGTGACTTATGTAAGCTGGGCCAACTGTTGCCAAATAAAGCGGCACAAAGTGTATTAGTATATAGAGCGAAGAATTACGCCGACCGGGCCTAGAATATACATATATATGTTAAGCCAAGGGATTACACAGTTCAACCTGAACAAATTTAGGCTGTATATATTTGAAGAAGATTTATAAGGGTCACTGGCGTGAGAGAGAGAGAGAGAGAAAAGAAACCTTAATTGGCACTTTGATCTTTATATATTTTAAGAAAGAAGTTATGAAAGTCAAATATTAATATATTTATACCAAAAATAATATATTAATAATAGATAATATTAAAAAAATAATAATAGCTTGAAATCAAAAATATGTTTGTACTTGGCATCATAAAATACTTAATAAGATAACATAACAACAATCGTTGTACCTAAAATTATTGAAATTTTGTCCAATTGCCAAATGTGGTCAAAGAAATGTTTATATAAAATACACAAACATTTTAACAGATATTTCATATGAAAGTTTTTTAGGTTATATCTAACGCCAACAATTTCAAGAGGAATTTTATTTAGAGCTTTGAAGCCGGACAGACTTTAATCACGCCAAAGATGTGCTTTAAACTCTATCAATTTATTTCAACCTACTTCGAACTAGTTTCATAACAATTTAAAACTGATTTGAGACTTCTGTAAGCAGGCAAAAAGTTGATCCGAAATTGATTTGTTCCCCTTTTGCGCGAAACATGTCATATGCTGTTAAATGAAAACAAACTTAAAGTAAGCCAGCAGCAGCCTGGGTTAGTCTGGGGTCACAGCTCTTCAAACGTGAAAAATGTATAAATATAGCAGCCGAGTCAGCTGCTGAAATCACAAGCAAGCGTTCATTTGCATAATATGTAAGTATAAAAAAAACGGCTAACCAAGGCACTGACTGCCCACAACAACAGCAGAAAAAAAAAAAAAAAAAAAAAAAAAAAAAATATATATATATATATATATATGAGAAAAAAAGGAAGAAAAGTAAGAGCAACAACAACAGCAGACAGAGAATATTTCAGCTTTATTTCCGCAGCATTTTTCCATCTCTTTTCATATAATTTTGGTATAGAGGTTTTGCGAGTCTGCTTTTACGTCTTCTTAATGCATAATTTAACAGGTGCCCTTAGCGAGAGACGAGGGATGAAGTGTGGGTCAGATGAGGGGCATAGCAACAGTAAGCGCACACAAAAGCAGGCAACAATCAGCAACTGCGTGTTGTTATTCAAAGCACAAACACTGCACACACAAACACACACACACACACACACTCATTCACAGTTGGCATATATAGCAGATGAATAAGCTGCACACTAACGAGGCTAGAACTGAGGCTGAGTTTAAGGCTGAGGTAAATAATGTGTAAAGTGAATGTTCTTCAATTCAATTCCATAACGCACTGACGAACATACACACTCACACACACACACACAATCAATACACAGACGCTTAGCACATAAACCTGGCTATTTGATATTTTTGTTGTCAACTTTTGTCGCTTGATTTAGTTTGTTAGAATGTCGCTACAAAAAAGACACCACATTTATGTTCTATATTTTATTACAAAGGTAATACACACACACACACACACACCCGCACGCACACATACACAGATACACAAGCACAGATACACACACAAACGCACGAATGTATAAAAATATAAACGCGCCAGTTGGAAAAACGCGCCAAGATGAAAAAAAAAATAACAATTTTATGAATTATATAAAAATATTATATAAATATTTAAATGTTTTTAGTGCATTTGCAGCACAGTGTGTGTGTGTGTTTGTGAGTGTGTGTGAATTTGGCAAATATTTGGTTACAGTACGTTTGAGTACGAGCCAAAAAACTCGAACAACTATTTACAACTCCGCGTGAGTGTAAGTTTCAAACTCGACTGAAGCATTGAGCGCTGTGTGTGCGGCTTTTATGCGCTGCCCTCCACTCAAGAGGACACACAGAGCCGAGTGAGAGCTCAGCGCCTACGTAAATTTCATTCGGAGTGAATCGTGAGTGAGCTCGTGCTTCGAGCAATACTCAGAGTGCTCTTTCACTCGTTTTCTCTTGTTGCTTTCGGCGCGAGGTGTGAAAGGTGTTGCTCATGAGTATATATTACAACAAGTTGCTGAACGTTTCTGGTATTTATGGGCATAGACTAATTAAGAATAATGTTAATGAACAATTTTTTATTAAACTTTTAATATAAACAATTGAAATATATATATAATATTTAATAATATTTAATCAGAAGTGAAGCAGGCAGAGAAGGAAGTAAATTAAATTGACTAATAGTAAATATTTTTATGCTTTTACTGGCATTATAATTCCTTAGTAGAACTACTTTTTTGTCACCTTTATATACTTAAATTAAAAAGAGCTATAATAGCTATAATAGCAGCAATAAAAGAATACCAAATTTTTATTATATTTGTCAAGCACATAATAATCATATTTGGAATACCTTAGCTTAAATTCATTCAAGTATAAATATAACATATATATGTATAAAAGAGTGAATAAATATACAGAAATATACATTGTAATACACAAAAGCCTTGACCTCAACTAAATGTCGTATATCCAGAGCATATCCATATAAAATATTCAATCAAATTCTGGCAGCAGCTGAGCTTGGCATATTAATTACTATTAGCCAACATCTGTGTGTGGGGCAGCACAAAGCTCAAGGTTAACGCTCTGTTCAGTTTTAATGGAGCCAGAGAAATGTCCTTGGCATGCATGTCAGGGCCCAATCATCAATGTACTTTATTTTAACATACGCAACGACTAAATATGCTTTTAATTAAAGCAACAAATATTAATTAGGCCCGGAGGCTTAGGGCTTGGTGTGCGCTTACACTTCCTGGCGAGCAAAAACACATGCTAAAAGAAATAAATATAGCCAAATGCTATCTTATAATATCCTCCAGCAGCTTAGCACAATTCGCTGAGTGGAAAATTCAACGCGAAATGACTCGTTGCCGGCTGCGACCCGCCCCGCCCCTTTTGGCGCCCACGCAAACGAATTCCCACTCAGCTAGCTGAGACAGATGCCCAATAAATTGCCAGCCGGGTACCGCAAATGAGCGCCCACGGTTTCAAGGGTAGCGCTGATTCGCTCCGCTGAAAAAGCTCGAGCGGCATGCGGGGCCAGGACGACAGCTTGGCCAAATCCCACTCAACTCTGAGTGGTAATACACTGAGCAGAAGAGCAACGAGCCAAAGAGAGACCCTGAACGTTGTCTCGATTTGGTCTTGGTCTTGTCCCCAGCAGTTTTAGCGGCAATATTCTTAAGGGTTCTGCTGGGAGCCATCCAATACTTGAGCGAATATTCTGTCCTCTTGTAAATACGCTAAAAATTTACTTACGTATTTTTTTTTTACATTTATTGTAAAATATAAAATTTGATGTGAGCTATAAACTGATAATTAGAGTTTAAGTTTGAGAATGTTTCTCACATTTGTCATCCTCATCAAAGAATAAATCTTGGCATATTTTTGTAAGCCGGCAAAGCTTTTATTATTAAGCTTTTTATTTACCTTTCTTTAATCACCCAAAAGTATTCTATAATAATTAAGAAATATATAATTAAAAAAAAAGAGGCTGTATTTCAAAATATATATTTAGATGTTTTCATATATATAAAACATATTACATATGTGAGGTTAAATCTTACCAAATTTAAACGAATGCCTTCAACTGTTTATTTGAAATATTTAAAAAAAAAAAAAAACGAAAATATGTGTAAAAGCAAAAATTATTATCAAACCAATTTACCATAGTCTTAAAATAAATTTTAAAAAATGTTCACATAATTCTATATTTTAATTCTTTGAGCAGAGTCTCACCTCTAAAACTTCAATTTTTTTTTTTATAATAATCTTTTATTAACATTCCACACAATGCTGAAAACTTAAAAAGCAGACAATTCATTTACAATTGTGATAGACGAACAATTTGCATAAGATAGGGGCAAGAATTTGCCATGCTCTCTATAAAACGTTCAACAAACATGTGGAAAAACTTCAGTATGAAGCTGCCTACATCGACATGAATTACACGTATCTCGTCTCTTTATACATATTGCTATGCGCTTTGTTTGTGTGTGGCAGTCTGAAAGCTCTTAATCCGTATCGTCTCAGCTGGGAGCTGCGGCTGCAAGAGCCCAGCTCAGGACCCTATACGAAAGAGGATGCGGCTCCAGTGCAAGAGCTTTGGCTCACCCAAAATCTTGATCACTTCGAGGCGGGCGATAATAGAACCTGGCAAATGGTAAGCAATTCTATGCTTATAAATATCATATTACGAATTGGGTTTGCTTACAGCGTTATTTTCGCAATGCTAAATATCATGAGCCCCAAGGTCCGATGTATATATTTTTGGGTGGCGAATGGACCATTACGCCAGGTCTGCTTAGCACCGGTCTAACCCATGATATGGCCGTGGAAAATGCGGGCATTTTGTTCTACACCGAGCATCGGTACTATGGCCAGAGCTGGCCATTCGAGTAAGTCGAATGGAGTACATATGATAAATGAAACCTGCAGATTCTTATTCTCAATCTTCCAGAAATAATAACCTAACTGTGAAGAACTTAAAGTACTTAAGCCTGCATCAAGCCTTGGCAGATGTCGCTCACTTCATACGATACCAAAAAGCGCAGTCAGCCGATTTAACACATTCCAAAGTCATCCTCATCGGTGGCTCCTACTCTGGCAGCATGGCAGCCTGGATGACCCATCTCTATCCAGAACTTGTCACAGCAGTCTGGGCCTCCAGTGCTCCGCTGCTGGCCAAGGCGGATTTCTATGGTAGGTAGAAATATGTGTACTATTCACTATTCTCATGACAAGATGTATTCAGAATACATGCAAAGAGTCGAAAACACTTTGACTCAAAGCTATGGCTCCAATTGTACGCGACGCTTAGAGCGAGGCCTTGAGCACTTGGTAGACCTCTTCAATGGGAATAAGACAAGGGATTTGCTCAGGAGACTGAATGTCTGCCCAAATTTTAATGCCAGTGATAGCCTTGATCGCATTGCCTTCTTCAGTGGCATCAACAACTACTTTGCCTGGATCACGCAGAGCTACAGGTGAGATTTGTGCACGAGCTAAGTTTCTCAACTACTAAAGTGTCTTTCAGTACGTACTTGCCACAGCTTTGCGAAACGCTTCTCTCGCAGCACTCAAGCGACGCAGAGTCCTTGCTAACTTTTCTTGAGCTGCTCTACACGCTTGACCAACGCTGGAATGCATATTACTGCCAGGACTTTAGCTACAACTCAATGCTGCAGCTGTATAACGAGTCCTCGGACCACAGCTCAGGCTGTAAGTTGCGTTTTTTACTTTAGACTCTTCAAGGTTTTATCATTTTTGTGTTTCTCTATATATATTTTATATATATTTTTACGCTCGAATAGTTTATTTTAAGGGTAAATGAATTGAAACGTAATCCATGAGCCATTAGAACTAGAAAACTTAAGTGAGTCATGCTAACTCGTTGCGTGGTAAACATAAGTCTTGCTCAGCTGTATATCAATTAGTCATGTGAATCACTCCCTATTGACCTGCTCTACATATACTCCGATGAAATTTTTATGCTCCTTGAAGTCAAAACAAAATGACAATATTTGGTGTAACCATAGCTCTATGTCTCGAGAAGAGTATGCCACAGTCGGTGTGATTAGCCTAGCCTGTTGACAGGCAAACTTGGTTCATTTGCTAACAAATCAAAAATTTGCTTGCAGCACGCGCCTGGTTCTATCAGACGTGCAGCCAATTTGGATGGTTCACAACCACAGGCAGCGGCGCCATTAACACCACATCAGGCCACTCCACCTTTGGCAGCGAAGTGTCTTTGTGGTATTTCGAGCAGTTATGTCGTGATGCATTTGGGCCGGAGCAGAGTCCGGCCACGCTTGCCTTGGGCATCGCACAGATGAATTCTGAATTTGGTGGACATGACTTCGACCAGAGTCTGCGGTATCGTCATGTGCTGTTCACTCATGGCGAACTGGATCCATGGCGGGTGCTGGGCTGTGAACAGGGCCGGCAGGCGTTGGTTATACCAGGCGAGCATCTAGCAATTAGCTGGGTAAATAGTGTGTTAATTAGTCTTCTACCCCGAGCAGGATACTCCCACGTTGAGGACCTCGCCAGCATCAATGTGCAGGACAGTGTGCCCATGAATCTGGCCAAGCTGCGTGTCATGTCCTTTCTGCGTCGCCACACCGAAGTCATTTAGATGGCATGAAACGACTTTATTCATTATTAAATAAATAACTTATTCTCCACGTGGAAGTCGCTCTGTAAATTCCTTCGCTCTGCAACCTCTCGCATGCGTTGCGGCATTTCTTTGTTCGCCTCATTGATCCTGGACAAACATAGACAAATTGAGTGACACTTGAACGTAAGTGAGATAAGTGTTTCGACCTCTCAGCATGTGTATATAAATATATATGTATATATGCGCATGTGTACATAGTATATGTTCCTATACATTGAAGTAGGTGTATGTGGGTGGATTGTTTGCTAAGCTCAAGAAATCGAGAAAGCACTTTCAGTTGATTAGCAGAATGCACTTACATCATGTTTGTGTTAGCTGCTCAATAATCAATTAGAACAATGCAACTAGGTGTTATTAGATTCTTAAGCACTTTAATAGATTTAGTTAGTTGAAGTGAGAATTTCAATTTAAATCAGAAATTCTGTAATATGTAAGACTTTGGTGTTATCATTAATTTTTTATATACATATACATATATTTTAAAGTGCATAATATCTCAAAATTCTTGGAAATTATATACTACAAAAATTAAATAAATAAAATAAAAATAATAATTACATAGAATAGAGAAAAATAAATAAACAAAAATAATAATGGTACCATATATGTTTATATTTACTATATAGATGAGGTGCAGCTCCATATACTGTTCCCTGCTGATTGATAAACATAATAAAGCACAGCTATATATTGGAAATGGTCAGAAATTCCCCATGTCAATACTATGCTCACGCTTGAGCTCTATAGGTAAGCGACACTCTTCTCTTCTCTTATTTGATTTTTCACTGAGCCCGACTTACAGCGCATTATAGTTGCACCACCTTTGGCAGCTGACAATATGAGCAACAATATGTGTGCATTGTGGTTCAGGGCTAATGCCAGCTGAGCGGATACGCAACGTCATACGCTCGCCCACCGGTGAAGCGATATAGGAGACGGCGCATGAAATATTTCTACTGCATCCTCAAACAACATAATATAATAAAAGCATAGCAAAGATTAAATAAGAAAGGCGCATTGGGCTTGCTCGTCCAAAGGCTCAAAGTCGTATATCAGGCAAATACGTGCTATACATTTCGAAAGGATTGTCTATGATGTGCGAGATTGTGTTAAATTATTAAAGCCAAAGTAGCCAAATCGCATACAACGAACGTGAAATGGTCCTGGGCCATATGCATACGACACCTCCCAGCAATAAGGGGCGCTTAACGGCAAATGCGCCCCTATGAAATGTTATTATTATTGGATCACGTTGTCGCTGTTGTTGCTTGTTGTTACCCATCGTCCATTGCCATTTCCAATGTTTTTCTTGGGCGTAAATTGCAAATTGGCGAAATCACAGCACAGTGACTGTTAAGCCTCAATGACTTCTGCTGTTGTTCTATCAGTTTATTCCGCTCAAAGAATTATTCAACTTTGAGTGTGACTGTGGACATTGAAGAGGATTACATTTTAACATAAACCAAATCTACATATTGTTTCCTTAAGCTTAATAGTAAATTTTCTAGTTTTATTTAGGTTTACAAATCTGAAATTAAATATTTATTTGTAAACTTATTATTTTTTATTTAGTGCGATTCTCACGACATTTGTTTCGGTGTTGAAACTTCAGCCAGCGCTGTTATGAATATTTCCTTGATTATTGCAATGACTTTAGAAGCTCCCTTAATATACAAACAAAATCCATAAACAAGCACAAACACACATTTTTATTTAAAATTCTCACCGATCTGTGTCTGCTAAACAAGCTATCAGTAATAATGTTTAAGTAGCCACTCAATTTCGGCTTATACATATATCCATTTATCTATATCCATATGTAACAATATTTCAACTTTAATGCTTCTAAAAGCCACATCGACAATAAGCTAGCTCAAGTGTTTCACACTCACGAGAATTGCATTTGGAGTTCTCAAGAGGCAGCAAACCCAATAAAGTGCTTAATTTGCGACTAGCGGTAAAACTTCTTTAAAAACATTACAAAAACCCGCGAAATTCCATTTTAGGTAAACTTTTTACTGAGCGAACTCTTTGTGCAAAAGCTTTGTGTGCTCGGCTAAAGAAACCTCGAGCATGCGCTTGGCTGAACACTCGCCCACTCAGTGAGCGCCGCTCCGTGAAAGCTGGCTCAAAAATCCAATCCAATTCCGTTATGAATGGCATCCTGTTGCTTGAGCAGACTCGTAACAGGTGGCAAGGCTATGGCAGCGCTCAATGTGGTTCGGAGACAGCTTTAATAGCTCTGCCGACGGCATGGCCAAGTGGCAAGTGGAAGTTACTTTAACAATGGCAGCAATGGCTCCGATTCCCTTCCAAAGAAGAAAAAAAAGCCAAAAATGAGCGGAAAATGTTTGAGAGTAACGTTTCAGGGCTTTCTACAGACACCTTGACACTGTGACACACAAACACAGTTGCAGGTGTCGGCGTCAAGTTTATATTACAATAGCCATCCATGTCAGCAGCAGCAGCAGCAGCAGCAGCAGCAGCGGAAAATTCTTTAGAGCTCCGTTCGCATAGTCCTCGTTCAGGGCTGTTGCCTTGAAATTTGCTAATCGCGTACATATCTCTCAATTTGGCCAGCAGTGTATATGTTTACCTCGTAGCCCAGCAGCCAGGGCTGTGAACTTACTTACCACGAAGCGCTAAAATAACAGCGTCAAGTGGATTAGCTTGCCAGGAAGTTTATAAAGTAAAAACTTAATTGAATGGCAAAAGGAGGCTAACAAATTGCGAATTGCAAGCAAACTGCTGAATTAACACTTCAAGTGGCCTTTAACTTTTAGGTGATGGCAAGTGGTGAGCTTATTGGGCTTTAAACAAGGCTATTAATACATAGAGTTCTACATATATATATAAAATAAATATATATGGGTTATATATATGATAATTAACAATTTATTGATAATCAGATTAAAACAAACGTTAAGCTCATTGAGCTTTAGCAAAAGCATTATAAACTTCGCTGTTATCTTGGATAGGCATCATTATATGGTATCATATATGCCTAGCTTCAGAGCATTTGGCTGACTTCTCTTTCAAAAAGGTGGAGGATCCATTAGAAATAAGTCTTTTATGGAATTGAAGTGTGGAATATATACATATGTATATCGTATGTGCAAAGTCCACAGCAACCTCTCTGTTCTCTTTTACTACGGAATCGATGAAAAGCAGGCAAAATCTTAAAAGTGACACCATTATCTCTGTAATATTAATGTTGATTCTGGTTCATTTCTGCCTAGATTTTAAATCAGCTTCAAAGTGTTTATTTAGTCTATCCATATCTGTATTTTCTGTTTAGCCAACAAATTAATTTTTAAGTACATGTAAAATTGTTTTGCTCTCGAGCTAAGCACAGCTGGAAACTCTGAGACAGAAAATAACGATTGAGCCTTGCACCCAGGTGGTTTGGATGTAAATTTGTAATATAATTTAAAAGTGCCTACAAAGCGCTGCTTGAATGGAGTCTATTAAAGCAGAACCTCGCCCAGGCATCAAAACCATCAAAAAACTTTGCACACTTACCCACCAAACGGGATTCAAATTTAATTTTTGGAGTTCTCAAGCGAATTAACCTTGCCTTCTGCATCACTCGGGGGCCAGCTCAGTTGCCGTTGGTGCGCTTAATTTGGCGTGGACCAATAATTTTCCTGATTTCAGCTACTTGACTGGCTAACTTTAAAGTGAACGCCGCAGGAGCCCACGTAACGTTTATATTCCCTTAGATTTTAATCAGCCCAGGGGCATTTCATAATTATAAATTGTTGAACTTAAGTTTTGCTTCTTGTATACTCTCTATTTATTGGAAACTAAAAAGGTTGTATAGAGCTCGTTTTGGATTGAATATGCGAATATAAATGAATATATAAAAAATAAAGCAGAATTCCCCCTAGGTATTAATCAGCTCAATTTTGTATCATATTAGCTTATTAATTTATTATATATGTACATATATAGCCATCATACATATATAGCCTTATCTTTTAAGCTAAAAAGAATTTTTGATTTTTTTTTTTTTTATTAATTTTTTGTTGTAAAAAATTTAGTTATATATTTGTTCCACATAATCATTTATATATGATATTATACATTATATATATATATATATATATATATATATATATATATATATATTTATTTTTTTTTTTTCTGAATATACATGTGTATGTATGTCCGTTAAATATATTTTTAATTGTTACCACTCTTAACATTTTAATCAGTGTAAAATATTCCAGACTCATTATTGCAATAACAAGTTAACAGTTAAAATATTACTTTGGTTTTACGCCAATTCGAAATAAAAAGCAATATCGAATTGTTTCTGTCGAAGACTCGTCTCAAATGAGATTGGTATTGGCACCACCTTTGGGATTATTGGTATTGGCACCACCTTTGGGATTACTGGAACTCTGCGAATTTTTCTTTTTATTTGAATACCATTTCTTTTTAACAGGCAATTTTGCATCCACTCGCTGCTCGGCGCCTTTGCCAGGAGCTGCATTGGATGCAGCATCAGCCTGCGTCTGTTGCAGGTCACTTGAAAGGGGCTTTGGCGGAGCTGGGTGCCTGTAGCTAGGCCGAATGTTGTTCGGATTGCGATTGTGGTGTGTCGGATTGTGACTTTGTGGCCTTTGAAAGCGTGTCACAAACTGATTATTGTGCATGGGTATTACTTGACGATAAAAGGGATTCACTGGCGGCTGCCGCATTGTGCCTCTATTTCCATTTATTTGCATTTGCCCCATCTGTTGCGATATTTTCCGAAGACGCTCACTTTGTCGTTCCATCCAGTGAATGTACAAATGTCGCTTGAATTGGAAAAAGTTCTCAGTATAAAAACTGCACTGATTGCAGTGTACGGGTGTGGCTTGGAGAAGTTCTTCCACCTTCTCGGCGGGCATCGGCTCAACCGAGCCCTTCACGAGAAGCAGCGCGTATATAGCTTGGAACGTTATAAACAAATCGGAGTTGAAGGTGTTCCATTGCTGGATGCGACGCATCGAGCTCGAATAGAAATCAGTCGAGATGACATGCATGTTGAGGCGATTCATAAACGCATTAATTTTAAAGCCAATACGAAAATCACTCGGTGGCAGTTGCTGCTGCTTAATAACATCATTCGCCAGATCCATCATGTGCTCCAGCAGAGGCAGATGTTCGCGCTTCAGCTGAAAATATACTTTTGCATATACATACATACACACATACATATGTACATATATATAAAGTGTAGTTTTACCCACCGCTAACACATTGGCGATCTCCTCTTTGGGCAGCACGACAAAATGATATTGCGCCTTGGGGCACGTCACGTTGCGAAGCACCGCTGCGCGATCGCTTTGAATAACAACATCCTCGCCAGCATTCAGTTTGCGAGTTAATTCGCCACGCTTATGTTCTACATCAATCTCACTCTCCGCCATGGCCTTTGAGATTTGATGGGTTTCACTCGAATAATCCAGCCTAAGAGCAGGAAAACAACAAAGCTGCAGCTGAACTGCTGGTTTTGGTACATCTGATTTGAAATATGCGTTGGACAAGCCTCGGAATATGAAAAACGAAACAGAAAAAACTGCGAATGTTTCACTCTCACAACGTCACAAATGCATATGCGATTCTGTGCAATTTACCAGGCGTGACGTCACAAATCGAAGCGCTGAGAAAGTAACCTTCAGCCTCTACATAAATGTTCGATTCCATTCCATGGATGACGTGGCCTTGCATACATCTGTAGCTACAAATAATCTGATGATTGTTGCAAGCATGCAAAGTGGGCTACATAGAAAATACAAAGTCTTGATCGCAGCTAACGAGAATTACATATGTTTATGAATGTATTTAATTTGAATACATTAATTTTTGCTTTTATTAAATTTTAACATTTCTAATGGGTTTTTCATAATCTATAATGTGTAGAAATCCTGAGGAGTTTTGAAAGTTTTCGGTTGGTTTCGTGTAATATTTTATTTTTTTTACTTGCTTTCCTGCAAGTTATTGCCTTGAATTTTATTCTGAGCTTTGGGAGCAGATGATTTTTTTGCACGGGGCTGGAATTGCGCTTGGCTATGATGTGGATGCATATTTGTATTCATATTACCGATATGGTGATTTGGTGCATGGCTTTTTAATCCAGGTTTCTGCACATTGGGCCCATTGAAGGTACGAGGTCCGTTTCGCCCATTGAAGGCCCCTTGATTGAGCTGGCGAGATTCGGACTGGCTACAAGGTGACTTTTGAGCATTTTTATCAAAGTGGTTGGCATGTTCACCTTTATTTATCTCCGTCAGTTGGTTGTTCTTGTTTTGGCGCCATTTCGATGGGTTTTGAGGTCCGTGTGGGCTTTTAAAGGCTCCTTGATTGAATTGGCGAGATTCGGACTGGCTATAAGGTGACTTTTGAGCATTTTTATCAAAGTGGTTGGCATGTTGACCTTTATTTATATCCGTCAGTTGGTTGTTCTTGTTTTGGCGCCAGTTCGATGGGTTTCGATTGGTTGCAGGCTTTTCGCTTTTAAAGGGATTGGCTGGCAAGTTTGGATCATGATTGCCTGATTTCACAGCCTGATTTGACTTTGACCGATTTGGTGTTAACGCTGCCTTGGGGAGAGTCGTCAATTTTGCATCGTCTAGCATGCGAATTATCTTTTCCACTTCCTGATTTATTTGGAGCTTATGTTCTCGTTTCTCCCAATGCTCAAACAGGTGTCCTTTCAATCCGAGCAAAATATCTGTTTTGAAATCGCACTGATTGCAGTGCAAGGGCAAAGCATTGAGCAATTTGTCTGCTTTTTCAGCTGCCATGGGTTCTATGCTGCCTTGAAAACTAATCGCCGCATAAACTGCCTGATACGTTAAGAACAATTCTGTATTGAAGCTGTTCCAATGCTTTACTCGACGCATGCACTTCGAATAGAAATCATTCGATATAACATGCATATTCAAGCCGTTCATGAATGCATCAATTTTGAAGCCAATCAAAAAGTTACTGGGCGCCACATATTGCTGCTGCTCAATAATTTGATTTGCCAGTTCCTTCATATGATCCAAGAGCGGCAATTTGTCTCGTGTCAGCTGCAATGCGGCAAATGCATGAGCACAATATAAAATCAAAATATATGTATATATATGTACATATGTATTCAATGGCTTACCGCACACACACTCGGTATATCCTCCTTGGAGACAACTATAAAATGATATTGAGCCTTGGGATAAGCATCTTTGATTACAACCGCTTGATCAGTTTCGATTAGAGGCTTCTCAATTTTCGCCCTTTGCATCAACTTGTTTTTTGCTGATTCCGTGCTATTACTCATTTCGAATCTTTTCCTATATCAAATACACACATACATACATGACAGTCTGAATTCGAATGAGACACTTGGAATAGGAACACAATTGCTGGTGAGTATTAGAATACAGTGCTGTAAAGAGTTCCACTAACATCTGTTTGCTTGCAGAAGAATGTATGTCAGCCTTTTACAACTGTTATGTTCATTTAGTGCTGCAGCAGGTGCTCCTTGAGCGAAGGTATGTTCTTGGCAACGAATTCACACTGGTTGCACGCCAATGGCTTGGACAACAGCTCCTCTACTCTTGCCTTGGGTAAACGTTGTATTTGGTCGTCTTTGCTTAGGTTCTCATAGAGTGCTGTAAATATTAGAGAATCAATGCATTTTCTGCTTTTACATTCGTAGACTGCTGCTTGCACCAACTAACCTTCGTATGGTATAAATAGCGATGTATTGAAGCTATTCCAGTGTTTCTTTGTCTTTAGCCAATCGGAGACAAAGTCCTTTGATATTACGTGCAAATGCAACCGTTGCATACTCGGCTGGGCATGAAAGCCTATCTGAAAGGATTCAAAGCATTCGCCGCGCACTTCAATGATATTGCGGGCCAGCAGATGAAGCTCCTCCAGTAATGGCAAATGTGTCCTATTCAACTGCAAATTGATAGAGAAAAACACGTTTCAGAATCTGTCTTAGCAAACCGCGAGTACTTACCTGAAATATACTGCCAATATCTTCCTTGGGAAGCACAAGATAATGATGGCGTGCTTTTGGATATTTGTCCGCAATAACAACTGCAATGTCCGTTGATATAATTAAATTAGCTGGATCTAAAATTGTTTTGATCAGCCCGGTTTGCCAAGACATTTTTAACAGCTGATTCGACCGGCAGTCGATGGTCATGCAGTGTTGTTAAAGTCGAAATTTCCCTTAGCGCAGTTGTGGGCACACTGATGCGTGCGTCGAGCGAGCAGTGCAGCGCACTGCGAGCAGCAACTTAAGTCTCCCCTTTCAAATGTTATGATATTTATGAAAAGTTAACCTATTAATTTTTTATTAATTTTTATTTTATTATTATTTTATTATTTTTCTATACAAGTTTACAATATATCAACATATTCGTTATTATACTTTGCACTCATTTCATAGTAGTGCATTACCCAACACTGCACGCAGAGTATATGCAGCCCTGCATGCAGCCCTGCACGCAGCCCTGCAAACAACAACAATGAACTACAAGACCCGAGAAGAATATTATTTGTTTGGCTGCCTAAATGTGCTTGTGTGCAGCGTGTGGGCAAGTAAAAAAAGTGCGTACCGCAACGTACAAAAACGGCCGTACATTTTTAACGCAACGCATGCGGAATTCGCACAATTACGTGACACTTTTTAATTGAAAAGCATTCAAATTTCATTTGGGGCATCCAGTGCACCGCCAATCTAACGGAAATTTGCATCTGAAAATCGAAAGTCTGCCCACCTAAAGCTGCCCAAAAGATTACGCAAAGAAAATTATAATTGCAGCTAAAGCTTCACACAAGCAACATGGCGCAGGCCACCGAAGTGAAACCACGCCTCATGGCCGAGCCACTGCACATACAGCGACTCGAGGCAGCATTAAATATGCGCCCCTTCATGGAGATGGCCCGCGAGGCCCTAAAGCAGCCGTTGAGCAGTGGCAGCGGCGAGGGCAGCGACACTGAGCCGGAGACTGGCCAGGAGCAATGCATTGACTCGGACGAATCGTCGACCAGGGTGGGCATGGTAAAAATGAAACTCAAGAAGCGACGCCGAGAGCGTCTCCTGGGCAGCAAAGAGGGTAAATAGGATACAAAATGTGAGCAGTATTTTTAATTGATTTTCACTCTTCTTCGTTGACAGAGCGCCAGAGCGTAAAGGCGCAGCTTTACAACTTCAATGATATAACTAGTGATCGGGAATGGCTGTACGAAATATTGCTGAGCGACACAGATAGCGAGCCCCAGGTGAGCGACGAGGATGAATACGTTAATCAAATGCTTCGTGAGCATCTACAGGAGCAACGCCACCGAAAGAACTATTACAAAAAGGCCACAGTGAGTAGTGAAGCAGCTGGTTAATTGGCGCGTATTAAACTAAATGACTTGCAGAACGCTCAATACGCTTACTATGGCAGTGGTCTGCTGTCCAATCACGACATTTACGCTGAGCGCCAGCAGGCAACAGTTGGCGTGCGAAAACGTCGACGCCGCACCAAGCAGGAGATACTCTTGGCTCGTTTAGCTGAGGCGCAGGCGGGTCCCAAACCGGCCAAGCAGCGTCGCCGTGGGCGTAAGAAGCGCACCACATTGGATTCACCGGAGTCGGGGGAAGTGCACCCGTCCGAGCTTGGCAAGTACAGTTTTGGTGACACGCTGCCTGCGAACGATGAGGATGACGAAGACAATGGCGAGGTGGACTACAAGCGCGAACTGGCCAACTTCGCGCTTGATTATCCTGAGGAGGAGGAAGAAATCGAGGAAGAAGTGGACGTTGTGGGCGCTGTGGACGGACAAGTCACGCGTGTGCGTCGCCGTCGCAAGAATCCTGAAGTATTGGCTGCACGGCGGCGGCGCATCTGGCAGATCATGTCCAAAAAGGAATCCGGACGTGTGCAGCGCATCAGAAGCAACAATCACAAGGAGATGCTGGCCAATTGCAAGCGTGTGGCGGGAATGTGTGCCAAGGTTGTGCGCCAGCGAGCCCTCAACTCGCAGCGTATCATGAAAGAGACCGTTTGGCGGGCTAAGCGTCTAACACGCGAAATGCTCAACTATTGGAAGCGCTATGAGCGCGTGGAGCGTGACCAGCGTCGCAAACAGGAACGAGAGGCCGAGGAGCAGCGTAAGCAAGATGTCGAGCTTATCGAAGTGAAGCGGCAACAGCGCAAACTTAATTTCTTAATTACCCAAACGGAGCTGTACGCCCACTTCATGTCCAAGAAGCTTGGCCAGGGCACCGAGGCGGATCAGTTGCGGATACTCAGCCAGTTGGACGAGGAGCATAATGCGCGTCTGGCTACTCAAGACGATTACGATGCAGGGGAAATGAAGCAGCTGGCCCAGGCGAATGCAGAGGCTGCAATTCAGCGAGATTTGGACAAAACACGCGCCTTCGATGTACCCTTCAAGAAGGAGCAGATATTAGAACAGCTGCAGGAGCTAGATCAACCGCTGCCAGAGAGCGAGCAAATGAAGGATTTGCCACAGCCCAAGATGTTTAAGGGCACGCTTAAAGGCTATCAGATCAAGGGCATGACATGGCTGGCTAACATATACAATCAGGGAATCAGCGGCATCCTGGCCGATGAGATGGGTCTGGGCAAGACAGTGCAATCGATAGCATTTCTATGCCACATTGCCGAGCATTATGGTGTGTGGGGTCCCTTTCTGGTCATTTCGCCCGCCTCAACACTGCACAACTGGCAACAGGAGATGGCACGGTTTGTGCCCGACTTCAACGTGGTGCCCTACTGGGGCTCGCCGAACGAGCGCAAGATCTTGCGTCAGTTCTGGGAGCAGAAGCACCTGCACACACGTGAGGCTAGTTTCCATGTAGTGATTACCTCGTACCAGCTTATTGTCAGCGACTACAAATATTTTAATCGGATTAAGTGGCAGTACATGGTTCTGGACGAGGCTCAGGCCATTAAGAGCGCCGCATCGCAGCGCTGGAAGCTTCTGCTGGGCTTCAATTGCCGCAATCGCCTGTTGCTGAGCGGCACGCCCATACAGAATAGCATGGCTGAGCTGTGGGCGTTGCTGCACTTTATAATGCCCACGTTGTTTGATTCGCACGATGAGTTTAACGAGTGGTTCTCGAAGGACATTGAATCGCATGCCGAAAATAAGACTGGCATTGATGCGCGCCAAATCTCTCGTCTGCATATGATATTGAAACCCTTCATGCTGCGGCGCATCAAGAAAGATGTAGAGAACGAGCTGTCCGATAAGATTGAGATTATGGTTTATTGTCCGCTAACCATACGCCAGAAGCTGCTGTACAGGGCACTGAAACAAAAAATTCGCATCGAAGATCTGCTGCATGTGGCCAACGGTGGCTCCACGACTTCTGCATCTGGCGATGGCTCCATTTTGGATCGGAACTTTACCTCGAACCTCATGAATCTGGTCATGCAGTTCCGCAAAGTCTGCAATCATCCGGAGCTCTTTGAGCGGCGCGATGCAAAGAGTCCCTTCAGCATGCGATGTGCGGAGTATGTTCTACCTCGATTAATCTTTCATGATGGACTACTGCATAGCGCCCTACCCAGCCGCAGACACCTGATATATAATCGGTTAGTCAGTTATTTGGCTTTGAGTTGAATGGAGTTTTGATATATGATACTTTCTCGATGATACCTCGACAGATTCAACATCTTTAAATCGGCCAACATGCATAGATCACTGTTTGATGATGTACACGTTGATAGCTGCTTCAGTTTTACGCGCTTGTCGGATCTGTCCTTGTCCGATATGGAGGATTGCACCTGGCATGGCCTCATTGACTTGTAAGCAATTAGTTTCTAATTGTTGCTGTACGTATTTAGTTCTGAATTGCTTTACAGCTTGTTGCACTATCGTCACGTACTGGCCAAGCAGCCTTTGCTTGCCTACCGTCGTCAGTGGTGGCCACATCAACGTGCTCCACGCTATCAGCTCTTGGAGCCAACTCTGGAACGTAAGCTTGTTCCGGACTATATGCTCACCAACAGTGTGCTGAGGAATTTCATCTTTACTGCAGTGGTAAATTATTTTAAACTCATTTTCATTGAGCTGCCCTGATCTTTACTCATTATTCATTAAGAGGTCCAATTAGACTACAAGCATTTGGTTTGAATAGTTTCATGCTATCAGCATATCTATGTATTCATAAATATGATATATTTCTTGTTCATAAGGATATCGTTATGTAGATCGTCTGATATTCGGAGAATATTCCTTGCCGAATACGCCTTCCTTATTTATACAATCCATATTATCAATTATAATTGTTTTTCCGCTTTACAGACGTCTCGAGAGAGTAGCGTTTATGCGTTTGGCGATTATATCACGGTCAACATGCAAGAAACGATAGAGCATCGTGTGATTCGCTCCAAGGTACTTAAGCAAAAGGCTGCACTGATTGAGGAGCTCGTCGATGGCGATGGCCAGCCACAGGTGAAGGCAGATCCGCTTGTAAAGCAGGAGCTAGAGGTGGAATCTGTGGAGGTGCAGACCAAATCGAATGCCAAAAGCGATGTTAAGATGACCACGCTACATTTGCTGCCCGAGTTCCCGCATCGGCCGCGTAAGCCGCAGTGCTATAAATGCGAACCGCTGCAGATGCCGCGCTTTCTCTACGGGCTGGGTCAACGGGTGCAGGCGGTCGATCGACAGTTATAGTGAGTAGCAATGCTTGAATGTATGTAATAAGTACTAATATCTGGCATCTATTTTTTTGTCAGCTGTGAGAGCCGCGCCGCAGCATGGGCGCACATACGCCACATGCAGTGCGAGAATGCGCTGGGCAGGGAGCTTGTGGGCACTGGCTTGGCGCTCTGCAAGCCGCGCTATGGCTGGTCGTCGATTGTGGTGCCCGATAAGGAGACACTCATAACGGATGCGGGCAAACTGTTTGTGCTAGACAGCCTACTCACACGCCTGAAGGCCGAAGGTCATCGTGTCCTTATTTACTCGCAAATGACCAAAATGATTGATCTGCTCGAGGTGGGTTTGAATCTTTGAAATCGCTACGATCGAATGCTAATGCCATGTGTGATTTTTAGGAGTATATGTGGCACCGCAAGCACCGCTATATGCGCCTCGACGGCTCTAGCAAAATATCTGCTCGTCGCGACATGGTCGCTGATTTTCAAACCCGCGCGGATATCTTTGTCTTTCTGCTCTCCACACGAGCCGGTGGATTGGGTATTAATTTGACTGCAGCTGATACGGTAAGTTGAATTAATCAATCTGTTGTTGGTAGAAACCTCTAAATAATGCTTATATGGCTGTGCCTTAGCTAAGTTCTATTGAGGTCGACTTAGTTCACAATTGAATGAAGAGTTTCTCTTAAGCATTTTAGCTTTCAATTATAGTCAATCAAAGTTACTTTTCTCTATGGGATCCCAGCTTTCATTGAGTTTACTTTTTAAAACGACAAAAGCTTTATCATCAAGGCTACAAAATCCTTTTTCATATCAAAGCTAAATTATTTGTTATCTTATATCCAATCGAGATGGAATTTTTACGAAAAAAATATGCGGAACCAGCTAACTTAACCCGTCTTGAAGCGAATCTGGTGCCATCCAGTTTGAAAAGGAAACCATTGACCCGCCAGAAACTAGAGTTCAATGAATCTGACAAGTATAACGGACTAGATGACTTGAGTGACCCATTAACAAAAACCGATCGGAAAAGTAAAAAAGTTGAAATCCTGCGCCCTAATCGCCCTAGAAAACCACCCAAGAACCTTCTACTACAGGGACGCAACGAAGTTTTGAGTAACTCAGATAACTGTGTGCTGCATATCAGCTACAATGGCCGCGAGGCTGCTTTGGTGTGCCAGGTGCGCACTGCCAATTTCCGAGCACTGAAGCAACGGCTGTCATCAGTATTTCAAAATTACAACTGCCGCTTTCGGGCTGTGCACAGTGAGAAGCAAATCTTTAAGCAAATGGGCTTCATTCATGTGCTAATGACCTGTCAGACTGCCATGGACTTTGGTAACTTGGAGGAGCAGCTGCATCAGGTGGCTCTGTCCTGCAATGCCGAAGGCTGCAGAATTGTGAGCCACGAAATGGGCGCCCTATGTTTTAGATGTCAACCAGCGCTTATACCAGAAGTGGCCTGCAAGCTGAAGGTGTTCGGCTACAAGCCGCTCCTCACAGAGCTCGGCTATTGCCCCATCGGGCCGTTGGTGAAGCTGAAAGCCCCACAGCTGAGGCGCTATTCAGAGTTCCTCAGGAGCCTACGGGCAGACGCAGATATCGTGAAGGTCTATGACAATGTGCAAAACTCCGTGCTGCAGTCCATGTACACCAGCTGAATTGGCAGCTGGCAAATTTATGTGTGGGCGATGAATAAAAGGGCAGCTCCTTGTTGCCGCGACTTGTATCCATTTGCTCGACTACTTGTTAATGCAATGCGCGGTCTTCGGCGTCAGCGTCGGCGTCGGCATTGCCATTGCCATCGGCATCGATCGAGAACTTTTCGCCATGATTTACACATTGTGATCTTTATCGAAACAATGACACTGCCAAGGCAGCCACCGCGAATTCTCAGCCAAAAGGATGCAATATATATGTGTCTGTGTGTGTGTGTACTGTGATAGCTGTGGCTGCTGGGCTTCGTGTGAACTTTTTCGCTTGGTTCTTAAATCATTTTGTCACTGATTTTGATTTGTTATTTGCGCTGGCCGTCAAGTAATTTGGTGTTTGTCTCCTCGTCCATTTTATTGTTCGGTTCTCAGGCTCGAAATGGTTCTCCCAACTCGTTGTTGACTAATTCCCTGGCATTTTGGCATGGCATTGCATGGCATGGCATGGTCTTTTTATCGGGCCTTTGATCGGCTTATCGAAGACGAATAAGCTTTAATATCTGCTATAAAATTAAAAAAAAAATGAATAGTCGGATTTCTTATACTCTTCTAGAGATTTCAGTTATATAAAGAAATATATTAGCTGAGTGTTTTTATTTGTTTTTCTGTTACAAAGGAAGCTTTTATATAAGGAAGATGCATGTAAAGTTTTTTGCTAAATGTCGCATTTCCTCAAAAAAATTTGTAGAACTTTTGTTTTACTTTGTAGTAAATTTCTAAAAACTCGATTGTTCGGGTCTGTGTTCCCACACAGACAAAGTTTGAGGGCGAAAGGTATTTGCCGTTCATGTCGCTGGCGCATACCAATGTAATGTGACCAAAAAGCAACTCAACTCTTTGGCATTCCACTTTACACTAACGGAAATTGTTGAGGGCCCACAAACGTGTACCAGTTACATTTAAAATGATATGGGATCAGCTTGTTAATTGTTTTTTATGCCATTTATAAACAAATTGAGTTTGATTGCGGCACTGTGTTCCTTTTCGGTGGTCATTGTCATGCGCGTCTCGCTTCCACTTCGTATTTAGATTTATGACATTTTCGAAATCGTAGCAGTAGCCACAGCCTATCGTCATCTTTTGATAGTCCATCATATTTGGTATGTCCCACACGTTCTTGAATGTAGTACAATTCATTGGGTGTATATATTTGTTGTCATCAAGCCCATCTGCCGGTCATATATTCAGTTGCTACTTATAAATATCGAATGGGAAGTAAACTAGATAAACTAAACAATTCACATAGAATATTTTTCCAGATATGAAGCCAAACATATTTTAAACCTTTCCCTTCTACGCCATCCGACAAAAATCAAGTAAATTTTAATTTAAATTTCGCACTAATCTAGGGAATTCCTAGCAATGTTTTCGCCCGGAAAGTATTTCAACTGTTAGAGAGGTTGCAAGTTTTTGAATAGGTTCCTAACTCAGAGTGTGGTCTATTTATTTAAAAATAGTTTTGTCAGGCAAATGATAAGCGTTATTGTATTTATAGACAGTGTGGTTACACTGATAAGTTCAAGTTGTTACACGTGAATCATAAAACTTAAAGTCTCATTGCCTCTCTTCTTTTCTATCATTTAATAATTTATGACCGGGTTCTATTTTGTCATATTTGCTAGTTATATACATACATATATAACATTTCATAATCAACGATACTAAAGAATTCAACATGAAGTACAGTGAACTTTTGTAAATTGCATAAATAGCTTATTTTAGATAAAATATTTATTTTATTACGATAACATAATAATCATATTATAGATCTGGTCTAAACTATAAGCGTAAGTTTTTTTTATAAGTTCAATAAGGATTTTTCTTAATACCACGATAGTTTATGCGAGCCACTCGCGAACGAGTACAATCAATCGTTCCTTGGCTGCTCGCAATGCCGCACTGTCTGTGGGGCTGATTGAGCCAGAGTCGGAGCAGTGCGAGGCTTGTGGAATGATTGTAGCGGAGTCGGAGCCAACTAGGCTCCATCCATCCAAACCACCGTGAGTCATATAAACATTCTCCACAGCTGGATTCTTTCCACCATACTTCTTATTTGTTGCCTGGATGTATTCATCAATTTTCGCTAAGGTGAATTTTGATCCGAATACGTCGTTACACGTGTCGGTATATAGAGTAGCCGGGAAAGTAGATCCGAATGGGTGGTTCTTGTTCGCAGAGGATTGGAACCAACCAAATTGTCTGCATGTTTGATAAAACCAGCCTAGGCCAGCTAAGAAGGAATGAAAAATGTTTATATTTGTCTAACAGTGTCTATTGAGGTTCTACTCACAACCATCGTAGTTATATTTTGACCATTTGTAGTAATCAACCGATCCCTGATATCGAGTATTAACACATTCCGGTTTGCCAAGGCGCCACTGCACGAACTGCGACAGTGCTGAAGCATCATCATCATCAAAGCTTCGCAGAACGGAGCAATATTGGGCCAAATCATAGTTTTCCGGTCTACAAGGGAAAGAACATTATATAGAAGGTAAAGACTTTGCTTGTGCTATAGTTACTTTTGGTACTGCGCTATGCCTGCAAATATGTTTGCAATCGAGCTAAATATTTGCCACTGATCCTTTTCATTGTTCTCGTCAAAACTGTCGCACAAATTGAGGAGTTTCTTGGCCTTAGCTCCCTGACCAGTCTGAAACAATTTTTCATAGTAGGATGTCGCATTATCGATGAGGTCGTAGCAATAGTCTCCTCCCAGCTGCCTATAGGCTCGGCCAACAACTTCCATGAAACCTGAAAAGTCCACTATGGCTTCTAGTGGAGCACTTGAGGCCCAACTGCCCACGATTACGTCGGGGTACAAATGCTTGAACCAAACTGCCATGGATGCAGAGTAGGAGCAGCCTGAAATAACCACCTTAGAATCCTTGTACTTGTCCTCTTCTTTGAGCACCTTGATAACATTCACCACATCAGCCAAAGCTTGTTCCACGCTTTGGTATTTAAGGTTCTTGGTTGACAAGGGGCTAATGTGAAAATAGGTAAATTTTTTATACATGAATCAGAGAGTTTAGCAAGTCATAGGTTGAAGCTTACGTAATTGGAATGCTCTCGCCGAAGAATCTATGTTCAGTGTAGACCAGTGACCCGTTGTGCTCCTTTGCGATGTCAACCCACAGACCTGATGTTATGGCGCTCGGATCGATTTCCCATTCACCGCCCAGGTATATGAAAATGGGAGAGCCATCTACAAAGTTGTCTTCGTTGATCAAAACACGCTAAAGAAGATAAGTTAGACGTGGTTTGTTGAATTCCTATAAATAACTAGCGAGCTCACTTGCTCCCACACGTTCTCGTTAGTGTCGTCAAAGTTGTCCAGGCTCTGGTTGAACCATCGAGTCTCCACATTTGCACGCTTAGTGCTTGGCGGCAATGGTGGCCCACGGTGAAGCTGGTTGAGTGTTTGAACAAATACTGGAATGGCTATTTCATCAGAGACTGGAGAGTCCCTGAGCGTTGCTGCAGATGCTAGGGACACGAGCAGTGCCAGAACTACTGGAAAGTACTTCATATTTTTATATGGGTCGCAAGCTTACGAATGGTTTCCTACCCCAATACATGGCCTATTTATACAAAAAGTGCCTTTGCCAGGGTGCTAGTAAATATTTGTGTTAATAGAAAAGTAAATATTTGCACATAACTTTAATCGTAATCCTCATCTTTATATAACTGATAAGTTTAAGAAGCGTGTGGGTCACGTTGAACAACTTTACTAAAAATGCTTTAGTTGTCTTATCCTTGTCGTTTCGTATCTTTATTGTAATGGATTATGACGAATTCGTAATTGATTGATTTACTCATTGCTATGATATATATAGCTTACAATGATAATTGTATATTTTACTGCGAGTATTGCAACGTGACGTATAGGGATATAGATGTTTTGAATCGATTGACAGAATTACGGAATAGAATCGTTTGACTTGGACAGCTATTACCACGATCTTACAAAATGTTAGCATGAGATATGGCTGGCCCTATTTCATGTATGTATATTCCGAAAATGCAAATTTCGAATTTGTAACTCTTTTTCATTGCGAATAAATGTTGATAGCTCGGCAGATTCGAGCTACTTTTTCTCATGGTTAGGTCTGTGCACCAATATCGTATATTATAAATCAGCAATGGCTTTTTCTATATATATGCATACTTCATTCGATGATTCTCATATATATGTTTAAGATACTTTTACTTCATAAAAAATAAACAACACAATTTATTGGGTTATTTTATATGTCATCATATCATCCAAACTTTTTAGTTTGCTGCCTAGTTTTATTAGACGTGACTGTATATTCTCAGAATATCTTCATTATCAAAGAAACGATTTCAGTCACATTTTGTAGCCTATTATTCGAGCAGTTTTTAGAAATGTATTATCAATTTACAGAGCTGATTACTGTACACTGAAGACTATCCTGAAAGTATGCTGTGCAAATGAACTTAATAAAGTTTGTTAATTAAATATGTGTTTGTATATTGGCATACAAGCCGTTTCAGATAGAGCCAAGTATTTTATTGAGCCTAAGTCAAATGACCTGAATAAAACTCACATACATTCCTATAGTTTATTTCCTTCTTTTTGTTCTATTAGCAACAATTTAAACTATTTTTTGATTCCCTTCCTTTCATGTAGCACATGTCGTAGTATTAGTAGTATTTATTTGCATATTTTTAATTTCATTGAAAACAATTGTTGGTACATAAAGTTACGCTAACCATTGACTCAATAGTTCAGCAAGACGCTTTTTGGAAGCGAGCAGCTCGGCGCTGTCGGTGGAGAGGATTGAATTTAGATCAGGACAGTGCGACATCTTGGAAATAACCGTAGCGCCATGTGACTCGCCATGACCAATGGCACTCCATGGATCCAGACCTCCGTGTGTCATATAGACGTTCTCAACGTTTGGCTCCAAGCCGCCAAAATCTTCATTGGTCTGGGCGGTATTTTTTTCGATCTGGTCGTTTCCGAATTTGGTGCTAAAGACATCTTTGCACAATTCAACGTAGAGAGTGGCGGGAAAATTGCTGCCAAACGGCTGATTGATCGAGCGTGACGACTGATACCAGCCGTACTCGTTACAGGTCTGATAATACCAGGGTCGGGCTATCAAACACCAAAAGGAGATCTAATCAGTGAAAGCATATCGATCAGAAACTAAATAACTTACACGCGTCAAAGTTGGTAATTCCGTCCAGATAATAGTTAACGGTTTCTTGGTAGCTTGGATCAACGCAGGTTGGATAATTCCAGGCCCAATAAACGAAATTGGCAATGGCTGTGGCATCATCGTTAAAGCTCATGATAAAATCGCAATAATACTCAAGGTCTCCCGTTCTATATTGGATGTTATATTCATAAGTCTTGAATATATCTTATTATATGATTCACTCACCCTTGATATTGCGCTAAGCTAGAGAACACATTGGAAATGCTGCCGAACAAACTCCACAAATCCAGATCGTTTTCATGATCAAAATTGCTGCAAATACGCAGCATGGCACGTGCTTCAGCCGCGCGCTTGTTCTTAAACATGGACTCCAGTTCGGCTATGCCCTTCTCTATACGATTGTAGCATTTATCTCCTCCCAGCTCACGAAACGCTTTTCCGACTACCTCCTTGTACTCGTAGAAGTCAACTTTGGCGAATAGCGGCGCACTGGAAGCCCAGGCACCAACCACCAAATCGGGATAGAGCCGCTTGAACCAGACTGCCATTGTGGCTGAGTAGGAGCAGCCGGACAGCACGACCTTCGAATTGCTTAGTTGTGCATTTTCCGACTTGAAGGTTTTAATGAAATTAGCCACATCGGCGAGCGCCTGCTTGACATGCAAATACTTCAAGTCTTCCAGCGTCATTGTCCTATGAATTTTAAATTATTATAGGGTTATGTAATCTATTAAAATAATACTTACTTAGTGGGCACACTTGCCCCGTAGTAACGATGCTCAGTGTAGATGAGGACACCTTTGTGCTCCTTGGCCAAGTCATACCAATAACCTTCGTTTATCATATCCAGAGAGGCCTCCCATTCGCCGCCCAAAAATATGAATATTGGGCTGCCTTCCGTTTGGAATTCGTCATTGATAAAATAACGCTAAACCAAAGACAAATCACTAATACATATATACCATTATATACCATTATTATACCATTTCGTAGGTTTCCTTATTGGTTTCATCGAACTGATCAAGAGGTTGTGTAATCCACTTTTCTTCCCCCTTCAATTCTCGCTTTACCATCTTCAAGGGTGGTCCGCGTTGCATATCTTTCAAGGTTTTAACGAATACGGGCACATCTTTCTTCAACTCGAGGCTATTTGCCTGGCTAGCCAGAGCCACCAACGCGAGGCTGACCAAATGTAGGAGCAGCATGTTGCCAAATGAAATGCCTAACTGACCAACGTTCTACTTTTATGCAATCAAGTTGTAGTTTCGTTTTTATTGATTTGCGATCAAGATATAACTGAACAGCTGATAAGAGCACGAAGTGGTATTTCAAAAGAGCATTGTGATTAGACGGGATTTTCAGTAACCTGAATCTTATCGCAAATTTATGATTTCCATTGCGTTCTATGAATGTTTCTAATATTTAACATAGATTGCATTAGCTAATAGATCTAGTAGTCCCATCAAGTAAAATAGCAATTCTTGGAACTGTAGTTCTATACAATCTTTTATTGCAAATATTACACATATTCCTACCACATATTCCTACCTTCCGACTGAGCCAGCAACATTATTTAAGCCATTCGCGAACCAGTTCAGCTACTCGTTCCTTTGAGGCTCGCATCTCGGGGGTATCATTATTACTAATCGATCCAAAGTCCTTGCAGTGCGCATGTTCTGTAAATTTATAATCACTCTAGTTGTGACTTTTCATTAGACTCTCATAAGTTAGCCCACCTGGTATGATGGTGGCCTGCTTCTCGTCCTGTATCCCCATTGCACGCCAGGGATCCAATTGTCCATGACTGAAGTACACATTCTCCACTTCCGGCGTAAGGCCACCAAAGTATTCGTTTGTCTCAGCCGCACGGTCCTCGATAAATGATTCACCGAACTGGGGGCCATAGAGATCAGCGCACATGGTTATAAACAGAGCTAATGGAAATTTGGTGCCAAATGGTTGCGCGATGGAACTGGATGTCTGATACCAGCCGTACTCGTTACATGTCTGGTATATCCACTGACGCACTGCAATATGTAAATCGGAAATGATTCGATTCTAGAAGTCGCATTGAAGCAAAACACTTACTCATATTGCCGTTGTACCTTGTATCCGAAAGTACTTTCATGATGGCATCGTAGCTTAAATCGTTACAAGAGCTGCTACTTGCCTTACTGAATTCACTGAGTAGATAGCTGCTTACTCCAAGAAGATCAGTACTTCCAGCCATTATTTGCTGACAAACACCTTCAATACGTCCAGGACTGTAATAAAGATAACTATTAGTGCAATTATTTTCATTAAAACATAAAATTAACTGACTTGTGGCCCTGTACAACGTTGGCAAATATTTCAGAAATCTCGTTAAACAGCGTAAATATGTCCAAATCATTGTGCACATCGAACGGTTCACAGAGCTTCAGCAGAGCCTTAACCTCGGCACCGCGTTTGTTGGCAAACATCGCTTCCATCTCCGCAATACCCTTCTGAATGCGGTTGTAACAAGAAAAACCACCCATTAAAGTTATTGATTCGCCCATAACCTCTTTGTATTCTAAGAATTCAGAAATATAAATGCTAATATGTGAAAGCACTTTCAGAGTAAAACTTACCCCAAAAGTTCACTTTAGCAACGACTGGGGCACTGGATGCCCAGCCGCCAACAACCAGATCGGGATATGTTCTCTTGAACCAAGTAACCATCGTAGCAGAGTAGGAGCCACCCACAATTATGACTTTGGAATCACTCAAGCCCTCATAGGAAGCCTTCTGCGTTTTTATAAAATGCGCCAAATCGGCCAAGGCTTGTTTCACATGCAGAAACTTAAGGTTCTCGTTGGACAAATCCCTAAAATACATTGAGATTCGCATAAACATGAACAGGGTCTCTCTACTTGATTAACACTTACGACAATGGATGGCTTTCTCCGTAGTACCGATGTTCAGTATAGACTAGAAGTCCATTGTGCTCCTTGGCCATGTCGTACATGTGACCTTCTGTAATACGGCCCTTGCTTATTGCCCATTCTCCACCTAGGTATATAAACATGGGACCACCGGCTTTGAAAAACACATCGTTTAACATATATCGCTGAATGAGAGATAATATGATTAATTCTACTCAGCTGAGAATTATATAATACCTGACTCATACCATTTGCCACGTTCGAGTCTCGTTCTCATCAAAGTGATCGAGCTTCTGTTCGATCCACAATGTTTGTACCTCGTCGGCTCTA